GGGGGCAGGTTATTAACCCCCACTGGTACCCGGCTGCTCTATCCTGGGCCTCTCAGCCAGCTGTATACACTCCCCCTAACTGCCGTGGTCTAGGAGAGCCAGCTTGTCCATAGTGCAGGTGGCCAGCTGTATTTTGCTGTTGCGGTCTAGGCGAGCCAGCGTGTGCAGGTGGCCGGCTGTCTATACGCCCCTCCAGCTGTCTACACTTCCCAGAGCTATCTACACTCCTCCTAGCCGTCAAAACTTCCCCCCCAGCCGTCTACACTCCCCCAGCTGTCTACGCTGCCCTTAGCTGTTGTGGTCTAGGAGAGCCAGCATGTCCAGGTGGCCAGCTGTCTACACTTCCCCCAGCTGTCTGCTCTGCCCGGGACGCTCATCGGCTGGACAGCCCTCCCAACCCTCCTCACTGCACGCTCTTGGAGGCGTCGGAAAAGGAAAGAGAAGGAGAAGAAGGAAAAGGGGGATGAGGAGGAAAAGGAGGAGTGGGAGAAGGAGGAGGAAAAGGAGGAGAAGGAAGGGGGAGAAAGAGGAGGAGACCTGAGTACTGCAGTACTTTGTACTGAGTACTCCTGTGACGACACTGAGGCACACACAGGTAGGCCTGTGTGCTAACACAACCCCGATTTGCACGCCCGCGTTAAGGGACCGCCCGTCGCTACTCCCCGTCTAGGGCACCCTCGAGGAGAGAGGAGACCCCGTAGCTGGGGCTCACCCGGGTACAGGTGACCGTGACCTTGACCGTGACGTCACCACCCGGGCAGGCTCGTCCAACCCCCGCGGGCACACCGCGGTGTGTGCCAACCACGCTGGGCGCCCGTGGGACCCCGGATCTGGACCTTAACCATCGAGCAAAAATAAAAAGGGGGTTCAAGAGTCCCCCGCGTGCGTTGCACGACGGAGCGGCAGCTTGGCCAGATGAGCGAGCGTGTGAGCGTTTGCACCCCTACACCCCGCGGCCCTGGGTCCCGCAGACACTCCGACTCACCGAGCGAAGCCATCTTGCAGTCCCCCAGTGTCCGCAGGGCTGGCCGCGAGCTGGGGAGGCTAGGAAGGGAGGGCAAAGAGACTCACGGGAAGCAGGCGCAGGCCCCGCCACTCCTCACCCTGCCTCTTTCTTTGGGACCACGTTAGGCTCCTGCATCCTTTGCAAGGGAAGGATGCTCCGGAGACCGTAAAGCATTCACGTGGAGTCTGCTGTTTCGGGGGGAAACGGCCCCGCCCCAGGCGGAAGGAAAGCACGGGACCGGTCGTGCCCCGGGGATGCCGGGAAGGGAGCGCAAAGAGGCTCACGGGAAGTAACCCCCGCCCCTTAGGGACCGTGCTGGGCTCCTGCGTCACTGAAGCGGAAGGATGCTCCTGAGATAGTACCCCACCCCCGCCCCGAGCCTGCTTTTTTTCGCGTGTCCCGCCCGAGGCGTAAGAAAAGGGGCATCCGGCTGTCTGTCCTTCGCTTTGGAGTCTGATCGGAGAAAAGGAAGAGGAGAGAAGCCTCATGGGCGGGAGCATCTTTTTTTAAATTAATTTTTAATTTGTTTAATTTAAAGATTACGTGTACAGTATTCTGGCTGCATGTGCGCCAGATGGTAGTGGTTGGAGGGACTCGAACTCAGGTCCTCTGGAGGAGCAGGCAGCGCTCTCTTAACCTCCAAAGTCTCTCTCCAGCCCTGGGCCTTTTTGTTTTTAGCCTCCCCAATTCCATGCAGGTCGCTGAAGTGGTCAGCACGGTGGTTGCAAAGTCGCCTACGCGGCTGACAACCGTCTCGACTGATCAGCTACGAGACGGCGCCCCCATGGACCCTCTGGTGGCGCACAAAATGGGAGCTCTCCCGGAACCTCTCTCCGAACGCCGGGCACGGGTAAGGCCGATTCCCGGTATACGTGCGCAGGTCCCTGACCAGGGTGGCCCTCCGGCTGAAGCTAATGGCAAACAACGGGCAGGCCAAGGACCGCTCCAGGGTGTGCGTGCGCACATGCTTGGCCAGGGCGACCCTGTGGCGGAAGCTCTTGGCGCACGCCGGACACACGTGCATGCATTCGTTCTCGACGAGGCCCGAGCCCTGGCAGAAGCCCTTCCCATAGCAGGCGCAGCTATTAAGGCTGGTCTCCCGGGGCACCCAAACTACTGTCCCCGGGGGCCTGGGGTGTGTTCCCGGCGGGAGCCCCGGCTGTGGTCCTCCCAAGGCTCGGCCTGAGCTAGGACACGGATGGTCCCCCTGTGCTGGGCAAGGACAAGAGTCCGGCCTCTCCCCGGCGTGCTGGTGGCGGGCTGAGTTCGTGCTGTCGGAAGGGCTCTCCACACTCCAGACAGGCATACTGCTGCTCCCTGGCTTGCGTGCACGTGTTCCTGACTAGGGCGGGGCTCTGGCGGAAGGGCTTGGTGCAGGCCAGGCAAGCTTCTCCCGGTGTGGGTGAACGCATGCTTAAGGAGGTCTGAGCGCTGGCAGAAGGGCTTGGGGCAGTACTCGAACTGGTGGGGAGACCAGGAGGCTGAGGGTCCCCGGAAGCTCCGTGAGAGGTTACCCGCTGCCGTGAGGTGAATGCTCTACCAAAACCTCTCCCTGCAAGCTAGGCACAAGTACTGCCTCTCCCTGGTGTGCATGCGCACGTGCTTGACCAGGGCATCTGTCAGGCGGAATCTCTTGGCACAAGCCGGGCACTTGTATGGCCTCTCCCTGGTGTGCGTGCACTCATGGTTGAGGAGTTGGTAGCGCTGGTGAAGCCCTTCCGGCAGCGGGCACAGCTGTAAGGCTTGTCTCCGGGAAGGCCCCCACTCTCACGGGGGCCCGAGGGGTCCCAGGGCGCATCCCATGAGGGAGCCCCAGCTGTGGTCCTCTCCAGGCAGAGCCTGAGCAAGGACAGGGGCAGTGGCAACCTCCCCAAAGTCATCACTTCTCCAAAGCCCTTCCTCCGTGAACATACAAGGGACCTGCGAGGTGGCTATGAGCCCAGGCTCTCCACCTCTCCAAAGCCCTTTGTCCTTGGGTGCACACGGGACCTATGAGGTGGACGTACGCCCTGGCTCGCCACTTCTCCAAAGCCCTTCCTCCTAGGGCGCACAGGGGACTTGAGAGGCGCTGTGCACCCTGGCTCTCTATTTCTCTAAAGCTCTTCCTCTTTGGGCATGCAGGGCACCTGCGAAGTGGCCGTCACCCTTGGCTTTCCTGGGGAACCCCCGGGCTGCAGTGGTTGCAGCACAGCATCTTTAGGCGGTTTCTCTTCCTGGGCGGGTACCGTGTCCTTGCGCACACCTTGTGCCCAGGCCTGCAGAGGCTTGGCCTCCACCTTCCGGTCCTCCTCCTGCTTTGGGATCAGGTCGGGGTTCCAGGCAGCACGGGTCTCCAGGCCTAAAACCGGACAACGTGAGCAGAGAGGAAATGGCCCCAGACCCTGGCTCACTGGGGACAGGGTGTCAGGGAAGAGCATCACTCACCTGGCCAGGTCGAGCTCTCGCAGTCCTTAGAGCTCTCTGCAAGAGCAGTTCCTGGCCACTGCCAGCTGCTGCCACTCCCCCTGGGTTGGAGATCCGGCCTAGGTCTTGAAATTGTCCTGGAGGGGGCATAAAACCTGTAAGTGCTCACTGTCCCTGCTGAGAGCAATTCGACTCACCAGTGCTCCCTGTCACCTGAAACGCAGCTTCAGGGCTAGCCTGAGCTAGCCAGCATCTCCCAGCAGCTTTGACTGCGCTGAAGGGGCAGAAGGGAGACAAGGGAGCAACAGCGTCCACCTCCTACTCACTGCTAATGGGGAAACATTAGCAAGCAAGGGAAACAACCACACCCCTGCCCCGCCCCCCCCCCCAATAAGATCTTCCCCCTATGAGCCCCCGTCAAGAAGGAGGGGGGAGGCATGGGGGGGGGGGGGGGCGGGAGGAATGTGGCTAAACTATGAAATGACATTTCTGGGGGTGGAGGGATCTGGGAAATGTTAATCAAGGTCCTCCTTCTCTTCCGCCTTCACAGGCCCCACCACTGCGTGGGCCATCGCAGAATCGGCCCCGTCCTCTGGGACCCTGATGAGAGTCCCAGAAAGCAGAGCACCTAGCCACGGTCTCCCTGAAAAAGTGGCCTCGACAGCTCACGAACCCTCCCGGTGCCCCAGCAGAAGAAAGCAAACCAGGCTTTGGAGGGTGTCATCAACCCACGCCGGCTCCAGAAACAGAGATGGAGAGGCCATGCCTGTCCTGGGTCCCTCTATTCGCCCTGGAGGACTAAGAGGTTTCTCTATGGTTTGCCTTCCTGTGGCTTTGCTCCTAGGCCAGGTCCTTGAAGAAAATGATGTAAAACGGGTAGGTCTGTCTGTGGGGGAACACGCTACTCGGAGAGTTCCTGTCTTGGAAGACAATCAGATGAAAAAAATAAATATTCCATTGCGTAGATGTACCACAATTTCTGTATCCATTCCTTAGTTGAGGGATGTCTGGGTTGTTTCCAGGTTCTGGCTATTCCAAATAAAGCTGCTATGAACATGGTTGAGCAGGTGTCCTTGTTGTGTACTTGAGCATCTTTTGGATATATGCTTAGGAGTGATAGAGCTGGATCCTGAGGAAGCGCTGTTTCTAATTGTCTGAGAAAGCACTAGATTGATTTCCAAAGTGGTTGTACAAGTTTACATTCCCATCAGCAATAGAGGAGGGTTCCCCTTTCTCCACATCCTCTCCAGCACGTATTGTCACTTGAGTTTTTGATCTTAGTCATTCTGATGGGTGTGAGGTGAAATCTCAGGGTTGCTTTGATTTGCATTTCCCTGATGACTAAGGATGTTGAGCATTTAAGTATTTTTCGGCCGTTCAATGTTTTTCTATTGAGAATTCTCTATTTAGCTCTGTACCCCATTTTTTAATTGGATTACTTGATTTGTTGCTGTTTAAATTCTTGAGTTCTTTATATATACTGGATATTAGCCCTCTGTCAGATATAGGATTGGTGAAGATACTTTCCCAATCGTTTTGTTCTGATGACAGTGTCCTTTGCTTTACAGAAGCACTCAGCAATAAAAAACAAGGAAATCATAAAATCTGTAGGTAAATGGTGGAGACTGGAAAAGATCATCCTGAGTGAGGTATCCCAGAAGCAAAAAGACACACAGGGTATATACTCACTCAGTGGGGGTTTGGGGAGGTCCCTGGGGTGCATATTCCACAGGAGCCCCAGCTGTACTCCTCCCAAGGCCCAGTCTGATCAAGGATGGGGTGGTGGCAACCTCCCCAAAGCCATCACCAGGCTCTGCTGACCCCCTGTGCTGAGCTAGAACAGGGATTGGCCGTTCCCTGCTGTGCGTGCGCAGGTGTGTGGCCAGGTTGTCTCTCCTGCTGAAGCTCTTGGTGCACGCCGGGCACGAGTATGGCTTCTCCCCGGTGTGCGTGCGCTCATGCTTGAGGAGGTGGCTGCGGTGGCGGAAACTCTTGGTGCATGCTGGGCATGGATATGGCCGCTCCCCGGTGTGCATGCTCAGGTGCTGGACCAGGTTGCCCCTCCTGCTGAAGCTCTTGGCACACGCCAGGCACGAGTATGGTTTCTCCCCGGTGTGTGTGCGCTCGTGCTCCAACAGTTTGGCCCTCTTGTCGAAGCTCTTGGTGCACGTTGGGCATGGGTACGGCCTCTCCCCCGTGTGCATGCACTCGTGCTTGAGGAGTTGCCGGTGCTGGTGGAAGCTCTTGGCACACACTGGACATGTGTACCGCCTCTCCCCGGTATGCGTACGCTCGTGGGTAAGAAGGTGGCTGCGCTGGCGGAAGCAGTCCCCGCAAGCCGGACAGGAATATGGTCTCTCTCCGGTGTGAGTGCGCTCGTGGTTGAGGAGGACGGAGCGATGGCGAAAGCTCCTGGCACATGCTGGGCACGTGTATGGCTTTACCCCGGTGTGTGTGCGCTTGTGCCTGAGGAGGACAGAGCGCTCTCGGAAGCTCTTGGTGCACGTCTGACATGTGTATGGCCTCTCCCTGCTGTGCGTGCGCTGGTGCGTGGCCAGTTGATCGCTCCTGCTGAAGGTCTTGGCGCATGACGGGCATGCATAAGGCTTCTCCCCGGTGTGTGTGCGCTCATGCTTGAGGAAGTGGCAGCGATAGCGGAAGCCCTTCCCACAGCTGGCGCATCTGTAAGGCTTGTCTCTGGGGGGGCTCCGACTGTTCTCAGAGGACTGGGGGGTCCCCTGGGTGCGTCCCCCAAGGGAGACCAAGCTGTGGTCCTCCCCACCCTCGACCTGAGCAAGGACCGGGGTAGTGGCAACCTCCCCAAAGCCATCACCAGGTTCTGCTGTCCCCCTGTGCTGAGCAAGGACAGGGTTCGGCCACTTCCCCGGGTGCGTGAGCAGGTGCCTGGCCAGGTTGGCCCTGTCTTTGAAGCTCTTGGTGCACGCTGGACACCTGTACGGCCTCTCCCCGGTGTGTGTGCGCAGGTGGTTGAGGAGGATGGCACGCTCGCTGAAACTCTTGGTGCACGTGGGGCACATGAAGGGCCTCTCCCCGGTGTGTGTGCGCAGGTGTCTGACCAAGTTTGAACTCTTGCCGAAGCTCTTTGTGCACGACGGACATGCATACGGCTTCTGCCCAGTATGCGTGTGCTTGTGCTTTAGAAGGTGGCAGCGAAGGCGGAAGCACTCCCCGCATGCAGAACAAGAGTACGGCTGCTCCTTGGTATGCATGCGCTCATGGGTCAGGAGGTGGCGGCGCTGGCTGAAGCTCTTGGTGCACGCCCAGCACGGGTATGGCGTCTCCCCCATGTGCGTGCGTTCATGCTTGAGGAGGTAGCAGCGATAGCGGAATCCCTTCCCGCAACTGGCACATCTGTAACGCTTGTCTCCAGCGGGGCCCTGAGTGTCCAAGGAGGACTGGGGTGTCCCCGGGACACATCCATGGCTGTGGTCCTTCCCAGGCCCAGCCTGAGCAAGGACCACGGTGGTGGCAACCTTCCCAAAGCCATCCTGTCTTCCTGTCTCTCTGTGCTTAGCTAGGACTGAGATGATGGCAACGTCCCTAAAGTCATCAACAGGCTCTACTGTCCCCCTGTGCTGAGCAAGGGCAGGGGTGGTGGCAACCTCCCTAAAATCGTTACTTCTCCAAAGCTCTTCCTCCTTGGCCCTGCAGGGGGCCTGCGAGTTTGCCATCAGCCCTGGCTCTCCACTTCTCCAAAGCTCTTCCTCCTTGGCCATACAGGGGACCTGAGAGGTAGCCCTACATCCTGCCTCTCCTGGAGAAACCTGGGGCTGTGGTGGTGGCAGGACAGCATCTTTTGGCGGCTTCTTTTCCTGGCTGGGGATCGTGTCCCAGGGCGAGCCTTGTAGCCAGGCCTGTGCAGGCTTGGCCTCCTCCTCCCATTCATCCTCCCGCTTTGGAATCAGGTCCAGGTTCCAGGCAGCACGGGTATCCAGGCCTGAAATGGGAGAACGTGAACAGAGAGAGAATGGTCCTAGACCCTGGCTCACACAAGCCACTCGGACCCCAGAGTGTCAGGGAAGAGCATCACTCACCCAGCCCGGCCGTGCTCCCACCATCCTCCAAGCTCTCTCTGCACAAGCTGTTCCGGGCCACGGCCAGCTGCTCCCACTCTCCCCGGGTCGGAGATCTGGCCTCAGCCTTGAAAGTTGGCGTGTCCTGGATGGGCGCAAGACTTCCGGTTAGTGCTGTCACTATGACCTCTGGTGTAAGAGCATGGAGCTGGTGGGGTCGAGTTACTGGGTACCAAAGTGTTCCATGTCACCGCGACTGGGCTCAGCATCCCCTAAAACGTGACTTCACTGCTAGCCTGAACTAGCCAGCATCTCCCAGCAGCTTTGAATGAGGAAGGCAAGGGGAGCGCTAGCGTTCACCTCCTCACTGCTAAATGGGGAAGCAAGGGGACCAGCCACACCCCAGCCGCGCCTTCCTAGCCCCACACTGTGGCTCTTGTTCAACTTTGACCTCCCAAAATAAGCCCTTCCCTCTCGGAGCCCTTGACACGGCAGCAGGAAGACTCATTCGCCTGCAGTCTCGGGGTTTGGAGGGGCCCCTCACCTGCTGGGAGGACCGGACCTGTCGCTGGGGAGGGTGCAGGGCTCGCGCCCAGGCCGCTGCCTCCTCCCCGCTCTCGGGGCGCCGGTGGCGCACGGTGTCCCGCAGCCTGCGCGGGAGGATGCTGAGGAACTGCTCGAGGACCAGCAGCTCCAGAATCTGCTCCTTGGAGCGCCGCTCGGGCCGCAGCCAGCGGCGGCACAGCTCCCGCAGGCGGCTCAGCGCCTCCTCCGGGCCGGACACGTCCCCGTAGCGCAGCCGCCGGAAGCGTCTCCGGGAGGTTTCAGGGTCCCGCCAGTCCTCGGGGTCCTCCTCCTCTTCTTCCTCCACCTCCGCTTCCGCCTTCACCACGACTACCGCGCAACCCGCCGCCATCACAGGCTTGGATAGGTCCTCCGGCCCCCGAGAACCCGATGAGATTCCAGGAAAGCGGGGGGCACGGCCACCGTCTCCCCCAAAACGTAGATGCAACAGCTGAAACCCAAACCCGGCACTGTCGCGCGCAGGTTCCGGAAAAAAAACAAACGAGGCCGAAAGTGCGTCATCAGCCCGCCCCCGTTGTGGATGCAGAGCGGCCCAGCCAGTCCTGGGTCCCTCTAGGCGCCCTGGAGGACTAAGTGGTGTCTCTATGGTTCACTTTCCTTTTGACTGGGCTTCCAGGCCAGGTCTTTGAAGAAAACAATATAAAACGGGTAGGGTGTGTCTGTGTGGGCGGAGGTTGGGGGGACGCGCTACACAGAGGGTCCCTGTCATGAAAGAAAATCAGAAGTAAAAAAAATAAAGGGTGGGCTGGAGAAATGTATGGTTCAGCGGCTTTCTATCCAGGATCTTGGGATGTGGGTTCGATTCCCGACTCCCACAACGTGGTGCAGAAACGGACCTGCAGGCCAAACAACCATATACTTAATAATAATAATAATAACAATACTGACAAAATTATTTCTGTTTTTAAAGTTTTGTTGTTTTTTGTTTTTCGAAAACAAAAAAATGTTTAGGCTGTTCTGGACTCAGGATCTAGACCAAGTTGGCCTCGAACTCATGGAATTTCCCTTGCCTCTTCTGCCAGGAACGCTGGGGTCTGAGGCGTCAGACATCTTGAGTTTTAGGCCACACTACTTCCGTGCTCCTCGCCAAACCACAAGGTGGGAAGCTTAGGATCACATACTTGTCATGTTGGGAACAGCACGCAGAGGATTCAGGGATATGTAGGCGACTCAGGGCACATGGTCCAGGCACCTGATAGTGACTACAAACAATCCCAGGATGCATCGCGCAGCATGGACGCCATTTTTGTAGTTCTCCGATACAATCCCAGAAGTCCTTGCTCCGAAACCATGTTTGTAGTTCTTAGGCACGTCGGTGTCTGCCGGGATGCATCTTGGGACGGATGGGACTTCCGTGACCAGGGAGAGCTCCGAAGTGAGAAACAAAGCGATGAAGGTCCGTCTGTGACTAGAAGGTTTGTGTTCACATCCCCGTGGCAGGGGCCAGGGAGATGGTGGGGAGGCCTCGGAGCCTCTGAGTCTGGAAGTCTCTACTCTCTGCGGGGCGGATGCAGAAGCGAAGCCCGAAGGGGCGGGACTTCCGCTAGAGGCGTCCCGCTACCCGGAACGTTTTTCCAGGTCAGCAATCTATTTTTTCCAAGCTGTTATGAACTCATAGTCCTGCTCACACGCGGGAGGTTTGGGCGAAGGGGGAATCGGGGTTCCCCAGCCCCTCCTCCAACCCCTCCCCTATCCGCCACCCGCCGTACGTCCGTCTCCCCGAGCGTCTCGTACATGGGGCAGAATAGCAGGCAGGTGGATGGCAGGAAGAGAAAATTTACAGTCCTCCGCTCCCACCAGGCTTGCGTGCACCAGGCTTGGGGGAGATGGGTGCACACCGCCCTGGGCGAGGCTGTGCTTGACCTTGTATAGGTTGTTGTGGCGCCCTCTGCTGGCCAGCGGGTGCACGAGCAGGGAGGACCCTATAAATAATGTTTAGGGGGCTGGGGGTTGAATAGATGAGGTGCACTGGGCTTAGTTGTTAGCGTGCTGGGGACTCAGTACAGAAGGATCTGGCCACCTCTGCTGGTCTGAAGGCATACACACATGGGCAAAGAGAAAAAGTAAGAGGTGGAGGAGGAAGAAGAGGGAAGGAAGGAAAGAAAGAAAATGAAAGAGAGAGAGAAAAAAGAGAAGGAAGGACGGGAAGGACAGAAATGAAGGAGGGAAGAAAAGAAAAGGAAGACACACAGCCAGCTAATTGAAACGTGGGTACTATTTGGTGTTGATTCGCTGAATTTGAACCAACATACACAGGTACATGTGTAGGTATTCTGTAGTGATATAAGTAACTGAAGTTTTTCCACATTGTAAATAAAGTATTTACAACCAGAACGAAGGTGTAGAAAATGGCAAACCAACACAATTAGAGTCCTTATCAAATAGGAATGACGTCATGAACTTTTTCAGAGGAAGCGTTTCATATTCAAAGACAAGCTATCCCTGGTTTAATGAACTTTTTCTAGTCACCCTCCCAGTATCCAGGAGTTTTTTAGTACATAAATTCTGGATTAACAGGTTTGATTGCTCACCTGCTTTGCTATGTGAAAATCATAACCCGTACCCAATTTCTATAGAGATTAAACCAGAAGAAAATGATGTGGTGACCGTTTCTGAGCCCAGCTATTCCATATGGAATGCAGTGTATGCAGTGGCCCATGCCTTCCTTAAAACGCTGTTGAGCAAAATTGAAATGGGATCTAAAGAAGACAGAAACCCGGACTGCCTTCTACCATGCCAGGTAAGCCTTACTCATAAGCAAGGGAAGCATCAGGATCTTATATTATGGGTAAGTAATCACTTCATCAAGCCAATAAAACATTTTTATCTTATAGTTGAAAGTACAAATTAAAATGGAAAAAGGTTTTGTCAACATGCATGTGTATATATCTATATCTTACATGATTTGGGGCCTGAAAGCACTCATTTGAAGACATTAAATTTTAATGTCTTTCAACAAATGTCCTAGTATGAGATGAAATTCTGTAAGGTATATGTGTAAGTAGTGTAAAAATAAAGCAAGTTCAATAATTTATGATTTCATGGAATATGTCCAGTGCTGTAAGGCATCATATCCAAAGCAACCATCTCACCTAAAATACAGTCTGTATTTATGACAAAAGACCATAAGAAGAGCCTTTTATGGACAATAAATAGCCTGTCCTAGAGTCAGCAGTAACTGAAACGTAATTGCTTTCACAGATTATTTAGTATTAATAAGGGTTAGGGTTAGGGTTAGGGTTAGGGTTAGGGTTAGGGTGAAACCAAAACTGTGCTCCCATTATTAAATTTTAGAATACAGACAGTGCTCATGAGCCTGGGCCATATCTCATCATGTTAGTGATAATTGTGGGTTTTAAACCAACAAGATATAAACCCACATTAGTGTGGGTTTTAAACCAACAAGATATAAACTAGGACTCATTTACACTTGTGAGCCTTAGAGATCACCTTCAGATAGGGTATAATGAAGAAGATTGTTGAGCAAGTCAATTGAACTTTTCATTCAGTCAATGATAGGTAATTAAAAGTTGAAATGTGAATGTTTGTATACTATATAATTTAGTATTATGGGAATCAGTAGTATTTGACATTAATATTGAGTAATAGTCTGTAATCATGGCTTCTAGTCATAATATATTATGACTAGTAAGTGGGTATGTCTCTTGTACAGATAACTGAGTACCTATATAGAAGTTCTTTATAACACAAGTTATTAGATAACACAATATTAGGTTGTGTTATTACTGTGCAGAAATTATTTTTTGTAATCAAGGTAATACTGGTGTCTTCACAAAAATATACAAGTGTTTCTTCCTTTTCCCTTTTGTGGAATACTTTGAGGAGTATTTTAGTGAGTTCTTTGAGACTCTTGTAGAATTCATGCTGAATCTCTAGACCTAGGCTTGCTTTTTTTTTGTTTTTTTCTTTCAATTGAGAGATTTTTAAATTACCATTTCTATCTTGGTGGTTATGTGTCTGTTTTAATAATTGACTTCCTCTTGATTTAATGTTGTTAGATTTTTATACATCTAGAAGTCTACTCATTTTTTTTTTACATTTAAATGCTTAGTTGAATTAAGACTTTTAAAATATGAACCTATGATTCTCTGCTTTCCTCAGTGCATGTTGTAGTGTCTGTTAGATCAGGATTGATGCAGTTGACATAGACTTAAAAGAGAACAGACAGGCATTTCCAAAAGCAGGATTTTTCTCTCAGACAGAACACTGATATGCTAGTCTTTTGAGAAGGGAAGTGGAGATTCTGTGTTGTAGTACCGGGGGCTGGAAGTCTTTAGTAGCTTGATGGGGAGAAGGACACACCGTGGGGCTTCAGTGTATAAATTTCTGGCCTTAATCCTGCCTGTCTGTAGGTGTGTGGGTTTATTTCTGGGTATTTGATTCAATTCCATTGACCCACAAGTCTGTTTCTCTGCCAGTACTATGCTGTTATTATTACTATTGCCCTGTAGTATAGCTTTAGTTCAAGGATGGAGATAACTTCAGAAGTTCTTTTGTGCTGGGTTGTTTTAACTATCTGTTTTTATTTTTTAATACGATGTTGAGAATTGTTCTTTTGAGGTCTATAAGGAATTGTGTTGGTATTTTGATGGAAATTGCATTAATCTCTAGAGTTCTTTTGGTAGGGTGACCATTTATACTGTTATTCTTACTGACCCATAAGCATGGGAAATCTTTCCATCTTCTGATATCTTCAATTTCTTTCTTCAGAGACTTGAATTTTTTTTTTGTACAGATCTTTCCCTTGGTTGGTAAGAGTTAAACCAATGAACTTTATGTTATTTGTTACTATTGGAAGGTTGTTGTTTTCCCAATTTCTTTCTCAGGTCACTTGTCTTTTGTATACAGGATGACTTCAGATTTTTTTTTAAGGTAATTTTGTGTCCAGCAATTTCGCTGAAGGTGTTTGTTTATCAGCTGTAGGAGTTTTCTGGTAGAATTTTTGGGACCACTTGTATATGTTATCATATCATCTGTGAATAGTGCACTATACTTTGACTTCTTCCTTTTTGATTTGTATGCCCATGATCTCCTTTAGTTGTCTTACTGCTCTAGCCTGGACATGGTGGATGGTATCTTTAATGTGTTCTGGATTTGGTTTGCAAGTATTTTATTGAGTATTTTGCATCAGTGTTCAGACATAGTTCTGAGGTTCTCTTTTTTTGTTGGGTCTTTGTGGGGGTTAGGTATCAAGGCAATAGGACTGGAACCTACCACAGAGGGCCTCTGAAGACTCTACCCCACAGGGTATCAAAGCAGATGCTGACACTCATGGCCAAACTTTGGGCAGAGAGCAGATAATCTTATGAGAGAAGGGGGAGATGGGAGACCTGGAGGGGACAACATCTCCACAAGGAGAACGACAGATCCAAGAAATCGGGGCATAGCATTCTTTTCTGAGACTGCTACTCCAACCAAGGACCATGTATGGAGATGACCTAGAATCTCTAGTACCCCTACACAGATGTGGCCCATGGCAGCTCAGTCTCCAAATGGGTTCCCTAGAAAGGGGAACAGCGACTGTCTGACATGAACTCAGTGGCTGCCTCTTTGATCATCTCCCCCTGATGGGGCTGCAGCCTTACCAGGCCACAGAGGAAGACAGTGTAGTCAGTCATGATGAGACCTGATGGGCTAGGTTCAGGTGGATGAGGAGGAAGACCTCCCCTATCAGTCTTCCTGCGGTGTGTCTTTCTGTGTCTGCATTACCTCAGCATGTTTTTTTTCCTAATTTGATCTATTTGCCTGCAAGTTCCATAATTTCTTATTTTTAATAACTGATTAGTATTCCATTGTGTAAATGTACCAGAAGTACTTTATCCATTTTTCTAGATTTGAGCGACATGTAGGTTGTTTCCAGTTTCTGGCTGTTATGAATAAAAAAGCTATGAACATAGTAGAACAAATATTCTTGTTCTGTAATAGAACATCTTTTGGGTATATTCCCCAGAGTGGTATAGCTGGGTTTTGAGGTAGAACTATTCCCAGTTTTCTGAGAATGCACCAGATTGATATCCAGAGAAGTACAAGTTTGCATTCCCATCAGCAGTGGAGGAATGTCCCCTTTTTACCACATCCTCACGAGCATGTGTTGTCACTTGAGTTTTTGATCTTAGCTCTGAACCCCATTTTTAAATTGTATTAGTTAATTTGTTGGTGTTTAATTTCTTAAGTTCTTTGTATATTTTGGATTTTACTTCTCTGTCTGATGTAGGGTTGGTGTTGATATTTTCCCAATCTGTTGGCTGCTGTTTTGTTCTATTGATAATGTCCTTTGACTTACAGAAGCTTTTCATTTTCCTGAGATCCCATTTATTAATTGTTGATCTCAGAGCCTGTGCTGCTGTTGTTTTATTGTCTCCTATGTTAATGAGTTCCAGACTTTTCTCCACCTTGTCTTCTAAATGATTTAGAATCTCTGTTTTTATGTCAAGGTCTTTGATCCACTTGGACTTCAGTTTCTGCAGTGTGATATAAAGGAATCTATTTGCAGAACCATTTGTTGAAGATGCTGTCATTTTTTCTATTGTATGGTTTTGTCTTTGTTGAAAGTAAAGTTCCAGTAGGAGTGTGGGTTTATTTCTGTGCCCTTATTTCAATTGTACAGAATTGGTCTTCTCTCAAGGGTGTTTTATTTTTCCATATGAAGTTTATGTTTGCTCTTTCAAGGTCTGTAAAGAATTGTGTTGGAATGTTGTGGGAAATGGATTGAATCTGTATATTGTATTTGTTAGGAATATTGTTTTACTACATATCTGTGATTTTTGGAGAGATCTTTCCATGTTCTGATATCTTCTTTGGTTTCTTTCTTGAAAGACATGAAATTCTGGTCATAGCGGTCTTTCACTTGCTTGCTTAGAGTTACAACAAAACATTTTATATTGTTTGTGGCTACTATTCAGGGTGTTGTTTCCCAAATTTCATTCTCAACCCATTTTTCATTTGTATACAGAAGGGCTAATGAATCTTTTGGTTAATTGTGTTCCCAGCCACTTTGTGGAAAGTGTATATCAACTGTAGGAATGCTCTGGTAGAATTTCTTGGGTCATTTATGTATACTAGGATATCATCTGCGAATAGTGAAACTTTGACTTCTTCCTTTCCAATTTGTATCTTCTTGATCACCTTCAGTTTTGTTATTGTTCTAGCTAGGACTTAAGTAGTATATTGAAGAGATATAGAGATGGTAGGCATCCTTGTCCTTTAACTGATATGGGTGGAATTTAAGTTTCTCTCCAAATAATTTGATGCTGGCTCTCAGCTTGCTTTGTACTGCCTTTATTATGTTAAGTATGTGCCTGATTCCTTGTATGCCTGATTTCTCCAAGTCTTGTAACATGAAGGGGTGTTGGATTTTGTGAAAGGCTTTTTCTCATCTGAGATGATCATGTAATTTTGTTCTTTTAGTTTGTTTATATGGTGGATTACATTGATGAATTTTCATATGTTGAACCATCCTGGTATCCCTGAGATGAAGCCAATGTGTTCATTGTGTATATCTTTGATGTGTTTTTGGATTTGGTTTGCGAGTATTATTGAGTATATTTGTGTCTGTTCATAAGTGAGATTGGTCTGAAATTCTCTTTCTTTGTTTGGTTTGTGTATCAGGGCGACTGTGCCATCAGAATAAGTTTGGCAGTGTTCCTTCTGTTTGTATTTTGTGGAATACTTTAATGAGTATTGGTATGAACTCTTGTTTGAAAATGATTCTATGCAAAACCATCTAGCCCAGGGCTGTGTGTGTGTGTGTGTGCTTGTGTGTGTGTGTTTGGCAGACTTTTAATTACTGCTTCTGTTTTCTTAGGTGCTATTGGCTCTACTGTTTTATATTGTTAATTTTGTTGTTTTTGTTTTTGGAGAAAAAGGTTCTCTCTGTTGTCTTGTGTGTCCTATAAGTAGGTATGTAAATCAGGCAGGACTCAGACTTAGAGATCCACCTGAATATAAATCTAGAGTGCTAGTATTAGTTGTGGGCCCACATGGTTGTCTTTGTAAGTTTTGTATTGTTTTTATATTATTGGCTGATGAACCTGAAATGTAGGTATTTGTACATATCAAAACTGTTCTTCACTTGATCTTCATCGTCATCTTGAATTTTGAGATTTAACAGAGAATATTATATTTCTCATTTGGCAACTTCAGGTTCCTTAACCCATGCTGCTATGGCTTCTCATCTAGGGCCACACCCATATACTGCCAGGGGCCTCCTATGACCTAGAAACTCACCCACCCTGATTATATTCTTTTTTCATTTGCTCCTTGCCTGTACTCTCCCTATACCTGATGTCCATCCCCATTACCCTATCCACTCCCTCTTCTACCCTATCCCTTCCCTCCATTTAAGACAGATACCTATCTTATTTTTTCTTCTGAGTGAGTTTTCAACATCCTCCCTTTGCTCTCCTTCACTCTCTGGGTATGTGGATTGTTCCATGGTTATTCTGTAATTTATGGTTAATTTCCACTTATAAGTGAGTAGGTACCATGTGGGTCTTTTGGGGTCTGGGTTATCTCAATTAGAAAAATCTTTTCTAGTTCCATCCATCCTCTTTGCAAAGACTTTTAATAAAAGTCTTTGTTATTAATAGCTAATTGGTATTCCATTGTGTAACTATCACATTTCCTTTATCATTTCTTCAACAGAAGAACATCTAGGTTGTTTCCAGTTTCTGTTTATTTCAAATAAATCTGCTGTGAACATAGTTGAACAAGTGTCCTTGTGGTATGGTAGAGGATCTTTTGGGTATACTCCCTGGCATAGTGTAGCTATTGAGGTATATAGGTATTGACATAGGTCTATTCTAAATTTTTTGAGAAGCGTCTAGATGGATTTCCAAAGGGGTTGTTCAAGTTTTCATTCTCACCAGCACTGGAGGTCTTTTCTCCTTACTCCACATCCTCACCACCATGTGCTATCACTTGAGGCATAATCTGAGTCATTCTGACAAATGTAAGCTTGAAATGCAGAGTCCTTTTGATTTGCATTTCCTGAATGACTAAGGACAACAAACATTTCTTTCAGTGCATCTCAGCCATTAGCACTTCCTCTGTGGCGAGTTGTCTGTTTAGCTCTGTATTCCATTATTTAATTTGGTTATTTGATTTGTTGGTATCTAATTTCTTCAATTCTGTATTTTGGATATCATCCTTCAGTCAGAGTTGGTGAAGGTCCTCTCCCAGTCCATGTGTTGCCATTTGTTCTATTGATAGAGTTTTTTTTTTTTTATCTTCCAGACATTTTTCATTTTCATGTGTCCCTTTTGTTAATTGTTGATCTTATTGTCTGAGCTGTTGGTGTAGTGTTCACAGAGGTGTCTCTATCTTTTTATTTGGTTGATTAATTTTTGCAGAATATTCAGGTTCTTATTGTATGCCCCTGACTTATTGTATACTTATTGTATACACCAGGCTAACATCCAGCTCTATGAAATACAGTTGCGCCTGTCTCCTGAGTGTTTTTGGAATAAAAGGCATGAGAAAGTACACCCAGCTTGCCCATTGTTATTATAGTTAGGAATTGTTCATACTGTTTCTCTGATGTGGGCTCAGTACTATTAAACTGTTTCCTCTCTCTCTTTATGTCTGTGAATTGACATTTCTCTTGCAAGGCTATATCCTCCTGAAAGTATGCAGAAATTAGAGAGGTACACCTCACAATTCAGTTTCCTCCTTAAAAGAGTTCATGATTACATTAGAACATGTGTCAGAAAACAAGTAGAAGAAACACCAGAATTCTGTGAAAATATTGTAAATGAAGTATATATTTCCAGTATACATCGTCAGTTTCATGCTTCCTGTTGTACATGTGTGAATATTTTAGAATGCATTGACCTACAATGATGTGCATGTGAAATTTACTCGAGAAGAATGGGCTTTGCTGGATCCTTCCCAGAGGAGTCTCTACAAAGATGTGATGCTGGAGACCTACAGGAACCTCACTGCTATAGGTATGGTGTGAATTTTCTTTACTTTTTAAAATATGGGGAAACTATTTATTATTCATTATGTGCTTCTGTAATTTCACTTGAGCACGAGGAAGAAGAAAGTGCATGGTTCTTTGATTTATCATAGATCATGACCTAAATTTTGCCTTATTTCTGATAATAAATCATACATTTTCTGGCTGTATTTTAGGCTACAATTGGGAAGATCATAATATTGAAGAGCATTGTCAAAGTTCTAGAAGACATGGATGGTAATTTTCATGTGTAAGCTGAAATGAATATGGTTCTGAGAAAATTTTATGTCTTGGAAATTTGAAAGAAAAGGGACAGTGTAAATGAACAGCTTTAGGTATATTTATTGATGATTACTAACTTGTTACCAAACCATATACTTTCATGTTAGTTATTTGATGTGTGTTTGCCAGGCGCTCCCCTAAGAAAGAATGCAAGGAAATCATACTTTACCCAAGGTGAACGTTTAAATCATAGCCACATTAGAGCTATGTGGTAGAACTGCAATTTGTTTACTCTCCTACAACTCAGGTATTGCCAAAGGTATTCACAGTAAATAGGTGATGAAAGTATGTTCAAAATATTATACTAATCAAGTAGTCCATAGTAAAACTGGAGTTACTTGTAAACTTGTAGTAATGTTGCTCAGTTTTGTGACAAAGGCAGTTTTTAGAGTCAAGAATGTTGTTGTGGAAAAACCACAATCCATATAGCACATGTCTATGATGAACAAAAATCAAATGTGTGAATACATGAAACCATGTCATTTATTATTCTTTTTTAATGGGTATATCATGTTACAATGAATACTAACCATGTCAGCATAGGGATATTGAAAGAAGCAGTGAACCTCCCAGAACAACTAAATGGTATAATAGTCCCCATTTTGAGTAGATTTTTAAAATGTGATCCTGTTATGATTTATATGGGATTTTCAGAATTGCCAGCAGTACAAATAATGACAGAGTTATTTTAATATTTTAAAGCTTAGGCAATTTAGCTGGGTAGATTCTGAACCCTTTTTTTCCCCTTAACCCAAATAAACCTAGCATGGTGTCCTGCTGCATGGCTAGCTCTACCTCTTTGTTCATGTTTGTGTCCATCTGTTAACCTCAGTGTCCTGCTGGTGATTCCCCTGTCTTTTGCTTTCTTCTTCTCAGCAATCCTCTCTCACTCAGAAGTTCTGTCCTCCACTTTGTGCCCTGCTATCAGTTGTCAGCTCTTTATTATTTCCAATAGATAAGTAAGGAAGGACAAATGTTTACAAAATATTGGACAGGTGATGGGCCGTAGAAAGAACAATACTGAAATCTGTCCAGCACTTAGCTCTCTACAGGCTCAGCAATCAATATTCACATATACTGACACAATTTTCACACAATATACACCAACATCAATTCATTGGTTATTCAACTTTATTAGGAATACTCACAAAATCACATTGCAGAAAATATAAGTTTTAGGAATATATAAATTCTCTGTTTTTCCAGTCATCTTTGCAAAAAAATAGCATGGCACACAGTACAGGGAAATTTATTAATCCAGTCAATGTGTTAAAGCCCCAAGGTCTTGCAGTTTTCTACAAATATGTGGTAAAACAACTTATAGAAAAAAGCACAGTAGAAATGTGAGCCAGGTAACAAATATTTTCAGAATCAAAAATATTTCTAAATATACAAAACCCAGAGATAAGGAGAACACCATGAATGTAAAAATAGTGATGAAACCTCAAGATGTAATTCCACTTTACTTTTATACCAAAGTATAAAATTAATTGACACAGATAAAGATTAATCAATGTAATGAGTGTGGTAAAACTCATATGTGCAAATTATCTTTGCAGGTATGAAAACAGTCATTTTGGAGAGAAGCCCTCTGAAGTCTTTGCACATCAGAGTAGTCCTCACACGTATAAAAGAATGCATACCAGTGAGGATCTCTATGAATGTAACCAATATGGTAAAGCCTGTGCATATAATAGTGAACTTCAAATGTATGAAAGAATTCATGTTAGACAGAAATCCCACAAATGTACTAAAGCCTTTGCAAGGAACAGTTGTCTCCTAATACACAAAAGAACCCTTACTGGAGAAAAACCTTATGAATGTAAGCAATGTGGTAAAGCCTTTACATGGAACTGCCATCTCCTAAGACATAAAAGTACTCACACTGGAGAGAAACCTTATGAATGTCACCGATGTGGTAAAGCCTTTGCACACAACAGTCATCTTTTAAGACATAAAAGAACACACAGTAGAGAGAAACCTTATGAATGTAACCAATGTGGTAAAGCCTTTGCACAGAACAGTAATCTTCTAATACATAGAAGAACACACACTGGAGAGAAACCTTATAAATGTAGCCAATGTGGTAAAGCCTTTGCACATAACAGTAATCTCCTAATTCATAAAAGAATTCACACTGGAGAAAAACCTTATGAATGTAACGAATGTGGTAAAGCCTTTGCACGTAACAGTGATCTTCTACTACATAAAAGAACTCACACTGGAGAGAAACCTTATGAATGTAACCAGTGTGGTAAAGCCTTTGCGTATAATAGCACTCTCCTAAAACATAAAAGGACACACACTGGAGAGAAACCTTATGAATGCATCCTAGATGGAAAAGACTTTACAAGGAAGAGTCATCTACTACATAAAAGGACTCAGACTGGAGAGAAACCTTATGAATGTAACCAATGTGGTAAAGCTTTTACAAGGAACAGTCATCTACGACATAAAAGAACTCACACTGGAGAGAAACCTTATGAATGTAACCAATGTGGTAAAGCCTTTGCACAGAGCAGTCATCTCCTACGACATAAAAGAACTCACACTGGAGAGAAACCTTATGAATATATCCAACGTGGAAAAGCCTTTGCACAAAAGCGTCATTTCCTACTACATAAAAGAACTCACATTGGAGAGAAACTTTATGAATGCATCCAATGTGGTAAAACTTACGCTCTTAAGAATCATCTTCAAAGTCATGAAAGAATTCATACTGGGCAGAAAGACTATGAGTGTATTTAACGTAGTGAAATTAGTCTACATTAGTAAAATCTTCATTGTAATGAAAGAATTTGTGGAGAGAAACCTTATGAATCTGTTAAAATGTGAGGCCTTTGCACATAACTGTAGTCTTCATTGTCAGAAAAGTTTCATACTGGAGAGAAATTCTGTGTACATAAGTAATGTGGTAAGGCTTTTATGCTTCTTGGTTCACTGAATCCACTACACCTCAAACACTAGGTCAATGGAAATAAAATTATTTTCATCCAGGCACTACTGATTGATGAGGGCCACATAACATTCTTGGGAGCTGAACTGTGAGCCAGAAAGTTAAAGAGATTCTGAGCTTGACAATCATAAACGTCTGTGCTGTTTTACAACTAAATTTTTATCAATCAGGGTTTAGGGATACGGGATTTGTTTATGTCATTGAGGAAGTCACTTGATGTAAAATGTAGGTTTTACAATCATGTCTATTCTTTTGTGGTTAGGAAGAGGTGTTATGTTTAAGGGAAAAGAAGCTGTGGTTTGGGACAGTCATTATGTTAGAGGAACAGAAGCCGTCATATGGAACAGTCAGGTTTGGGGGAACAAAAGATGAATAATAGAAGCTGGTCAGCCATTGGGAAGTCTAGCTTTCCTAGTGATGATAAACTTAGGTTCACCCTATAATTCAATGGAAGCTGATGTCTAAATGGCAATACTTAGCACAAATTTCTTTTGCGTGTTTTGCATGTCACAGTCACCTTCAAATATAGGAAAGAACAGGTAGTAGAGAGAAACCTTACACATGTGATCAATGTGATAAAACCTTTTCTTAACATCTCCAACTACATAAAAGAACACATACTGCAGTGAAACCCTATGAATAAGCAATGTGATAAAGCCTTTTCATGTAGTTGTCTTTGAAATCCTGAGAAAAAGTCATGCTGCAGAGAAACCCCATGAATGTGGTCAGTATGGTAAAGTTTTGCGCTTCATGATACGGTTATAGAAGAATAAAAGCTTTACAGTGCAAGCAACCTTTTAAAGCCTTTGCATATCACAGTAGTCTTTGAGAACCTGAAAGAACTAATTTGTTAGGGTCTTTGACCCTATTTGGGGGAAAGTTCTAACAGGTGTCAATAATCTATTCAAGCATTATGATATCCATCCTTTTGTTTTTAATTGCAAGCTCAATATGTACAAAAGGCCTACCCTTTTAAATTTCAAAATTATCTTCAATTAAATGAAATAAATCATACAGTTGTAAAATTTATGGGTGTGTATTAGTGCCTTTTCTGTGACAAAACACAATGTCTAAGGCAACTTCCAAATATGTTTAATTTGGGGTCACTATAAAATGGGCATCACAAGTGTCATACATTGCAGCTAAAGTAGGAAGCTTGGAACTCACATCCTCAACCTGCAGCATGAAGCAGAGAGTGGAAACTCCAGATGCTGTTGAAAACTATCAAGTAACATACTTCATCCAGCAGGGCTGCATTTCCTAAACATTCACAAATGATACAACCAACTGAGAAGGATTCACTTCTCTGACTTCAAGTCTACATGTGTGATTGCTCTTATGTGAAGGAATTCCTAATGAAGAAAAACTCTGTAGATAAGCCTTTAGTTGCCTCAACACCTGAGTTAAAGGAAAGAATGCTTACACAAGTAAAACATTCATGAGTAAACATATATTTGTTTAAGAATTTGTTTTCATTTCCATTATGTGAGGTTGGTGTGTCTTTGCATGTTTATGTGCCTGTCCATTCTGGTTTCCAGGAAGAACAGACCCTTTTATCTTCATGTACCAGGAATTACAGGAAGTTGTCAAAAACCTTACCTAGGTCCTGGGAATGGACTTGTCTTAACTGCACAGCCACTTCTCTAGTTCTTTAAACATCTTAAATATGTTGTATATAATCTTGATGTCAAGAAGTGGAAATTACTTCATAGAAAAGATCAACCCTATTTTTGTAAAAGAGTTGATGACTTTGGACATAATAAGTATATTTCAAGAAAAACTCTTTTTAATCTTTTATTATAGCCTTGGAGAAAGTAAATTATATACCATGTTCACTTAAATGTAATGGAGGAGATAAACAACTGGTTGTGATCAGTATTTTGAAACATTGGAGTAGGTATTGAAGTTTGCTGCATGTGTAGTAAATCCATTCACAGAAGTTTATTAGGTCGTTCTGATATTCTTTCTGTGGCTTCTGTTCATCTTCTCAATGCATTTTCAGTTGGTGATAGGTATTTTTTTGCTGCAGTGTATAGAATGGGATTCCCATTTTCTACATGGCCCATTGCTTATTTACATCAGGCAGTGTAGGAGAAAGCATGGTGGTTATGTTTTCCATGTTTTCACAAATTCCTTAAGGTATTTGTTTTCAAGCTGTGCTTGGATGTCAGTAATTAGTCAAAGCTACATTTGAAGTCTTGGTTTTCATGTGCCAGCCTTCTGAGTAGACGTCCAAGGGTGAAAGATATTCCCCTAATGTCTTCTGTTTTATCAACATATTTTTACCCACGTTAATGTTAAAATGCTTAATAGTATGTATGTATGTGTGCATGTGTGTGTATGTATGTACATATTGTTTGAAGTTCCATGCTTCTTTATGTTCCCAATACTTATTATATGGCACATCACCTAGAAGTAGTACTCTCTTAGAGAATTATCGAGGTGCTAGATAATGTAACAGAATGAGGTTTATTTCAAAAGAGAATGTATGTGTGTGTAATGTACACATGATAATTTAGGCTCAATCTCTGTGTGGCCCATATTACTCCTACAGAATTTTCTATATAATCCTACAGTATTTCTATATGTGGGCTGTTGTGTATGCAAATTCATATACCAGCACATACATAAATAATTTTTAAACCTGAAAAGGAACAGTGTATTCACTGGCTGAAACACTCTTTGGGTTTCAGGTATAAAACTCACATAGGGTAAGTAGATAGTTATCAGCAATAGTTGTCTTCTCACTGGCACATACATACCATGGCATAGGTGTATGCAGAAAAACACAAACATCTTTAAATGGATGAAATTAACAAAGCTAAAGAAAGAACCCAGTTATTGACAACATAAGAAATTATTTGCAAGTGTAACTAACTGTAGAATTTGAAGAATTATTACTGTTCATTAAAGGAATAACTGTTCCTTTGTATATCTTATTTTATTTTTCATTACTTGATTCAAGGATAGTTCATTTTAAAAACATACCTCAGGTTGGCTCACAAGTTCATCCCTGTCATCCCAGACCTGGGAGTCAGTGGCAGGATAATCTTTTGGAGATTGAGGCTAGCTTGTTCCACAGAGTGAGTTCTTTTGTTTGTTTATCAGAAAGAGTTTTCTTGTGTATCCTTGGCTGTGTTGTAGTCACTTTATAGACCAGGCTGGCCTTAAATTCATGGACATCTGCCTGCCTCTTCCTAAATGCTGGGATTACAGGTGTGTGCCACAGATTGAGTTCTAAAACAGCCATGGCTATAAAGACGTATCCTGTCTCTAATTCCAAAAAGGTAGACTATATCTCAAATTATGGATTTTTTCCTAATATAATCTGGTTTCAACAAAGCCTATTGTTACATTTACTCACATCAAGAGAACTGTGATAACTATGAAAATAAGAAGGAATGTGGAAAGTCCACTCAGAGGAGTAGAAATCCATTTAATCCTTCACCAGCCATTTATCAGATTCTTCATCACGTTCAAGTGCTAGGAGACAGAAGGGGTAATGCAGCATTTTCATCCTCTACATTGTAGTGATGTCATTGGGAACTAGGTTTCAAACCTGGGACAAATGGGAGAGGTGTCTATTTAACATATTAAAACATAACTAGCTGCCAGTCTTCTCCCAGAAATCCCTCAGTCCTTACAAAGCATAATATGGTTCTCTTGGCTGGCATCTTCCATTCTCTACCCTAAATTTTTCCTGCCCAGGGTGTCTGGGCTAACCTCCCTTCCCCATATCAACTTGTAGATTGTTTAGCAAGGTCAGGTAAGATGTTTTTGCTAATGGGTCTGATGTAAATAATGTTAGAAAACCATGTGAAGTTAAGAAAAGTACACTCTTAATACTAAAGCCAAGGACTCTAAGGTTGATGAGCAGAAACAAAAGCCCAAGTTAGCACTTGCTGAATGGACAGTCCAGCTGGGCCTGTAACTGAGACAACAATTGATTTCCTTATGTTTGTTTTTTCCCCTCAGGCTCTTGATATGATTTAATAAAAGTTATTAATGAGCAATGAACACCCCTTCAAGATTTAATGTAGAGGCAGCTGATTGTTTTATATGCATAAAAGTTTAGATTTGTGATCCTTTTAAGACTTTTATAAGATTACTTTTTATATAATTGCTTCTTGATTACCCCAAATTTCAGCTTGCTGGCTGAGAAGTTATGTTGCTTGCTCATCTTATTAACTGATCACAAGTTGGTTAATTACAAGTGTATATGGGGTCTTGGGAATAATTATTTTCATATTTGTTTTTTACCCACAATATGTAAAACATTTGATCATGTGAAGGTATTGGAGAATATGTAAGGGGTTTTTGCATATATTCATTGTAATCATTCACTTAAAGGTAGAGTGTAACCACATTGTTTAGTACTGCTTGAAAGATCTTGCTGGGATAGATAAGCAGTGGAAAAAGAATAAAAGTGTGGTTTGAACTGGCTTTTGGGTCTTGTTCCCTCCACCAAGGTGTATGTGTGTAGGGTAGTTTCGACCTCACTTCTTGGAGTTTGTTCCATCCACCAATATGTATGTATGTAAGGGGGTTTGGAACTTACTCTTTGGAGTTTCTTCCATATACCAAGTTGTATATATGTAAGATGGTTTGAAAGTTGTTCTCTGGAGTTTGCTCCATCCACCCAGTATGTGAACATGTATGTATGTATGCACTCATGAATGTATGTATGTATGTGATTGTGTGAAGTAAGAAAAACTAAATGAAGAGAAGCTTAGAGAGAAGCTTTTCAGAACCTACCTGGAGTGTCTTACCTCTTAAAGAATAAATCTCTCTCTCTCTCTCTCTCTCTCTCTCTCTCTCTCTCTCTCTCTTTGTGTGTGTGTGTATGTGTGTGTGTGTGAGTCTTTGGGCTACATCTGAGCAGGAGTTTTAGGTCCTCTCCATGCATGGTCCTTGGTTGTGGTATCAGTCTCTGCAGGGGCCTCAGGGCCTAGTTTTTTGGCTTTGTTGGTCTCTTTTTGGAGCTCCTGTCCCCTCCAGGTCTTTCTATCTCCCACTACTTTCATGAAATTCCATGCTCTCTCCCCAAAGTTTGGGTATGAGTCTCAGCCTCTGCTTCAATACCTCAATCAGTGGAGTCATTCAGAGGCTTTCTGTGGAAGGCTCCTGTCATGTTCCTTGTCTTCTCCTGCTTCCCATGTCAACCATGTTTTCCCTTTTGAATGAGGATTGACCATCTTCCGTAGGTTCTTCCCTGTTTTATACTCTAGGAGTATAGATCTCAGTATGTTTATCCTCTATTATATGTCTAATAACCACTTATAAGTGAGTATATACCATATGTGTCTTTCTGCTTCTAGTTACCTCACTCAAGATGATCTTTTCTAGTTCCCACCATTTGCCTGCCAGAGAACTCCTTCAGCTGATAAACACCTTCAGAAAATTGGCTGGATACAAAATTAACTCAAAAACAAAAACAAAAACAGCCCTCCTATATACAAAAGACAAAAGGGCTGAGTAATAAATTAGGGAAACAACACCCTTCAGCCACAAATAACATAAAGTAACTTGGTGTAATCCTAACCAAGCAAGTGAAAAAGCTGTATGTAAAAAAAAATCCAATTGGATCTTAAAACTCCTCAGTCCCCACTCTTTCATCCCTTTAACCTGCCTGCCTGGTAGGAATAAGGATATTCTAAAGACACATTTATATTCCCACCTTAGGCAAACATCTTGTGAAACCGTGGACTCCATGAAATTCTAATTGCCCCTCGAATTTCATTCTGTGAAAAGGCTGATTCCTTCAGATGAGAAATTCTCTGCTAAATAAACATTAACTCAATGTCTGAATACCTTGCAGGAGATGAATATGCTGATAATGAAAGGGATTTAAGGGTTGCACAATTTTATTATATGGCTCGGTTATATTACTTATTTGTGTGTTCCTTGCCATCTGTCTAAAACTGTTAAGACCTCATGGATGAATTAATTACCTTATAACTTCATCACTGGTCAAAATTACTGAATAAATATGTT